TATATGCATGCTGTATTAAGGTTAAACTCGCATATTGTTTTACATGGCAAATAACAGTGTGAGGTTTTTAAATAAAAGGTTAGTTAATTCTTACAACCTTAAAATTCAACAGACTATGGTGTGGCTCTCAACCCTATGTAATTCCTTAAATTCTACTGTTACGGCCCATTGTGGGGTATATTAGTAATTCCTGCAACATAGTTCCAACTTTTTATTCTCTCCCTGGAAAATTTTCATGAAAATATAAAGTACGTGTTAGCCATTACACAAAATGCAGCCATTTCTGTAGGGATTATATTTTATTCAGATGTCTTTCAGTAACTATCACTCACTACCCCTAAATAAACTATGCCTGCATTTGTATCCACCTGTGACTGTAGTCAATGTAAATGACCTGGCGAAATGCTTAGTAAAAGTTCTGTAGTCGTGAAACTTTCCTGTCTATGAGACAGCCTCCAAATGGACCTTTTTTTAGAGAACTGTTTGGATTTATATGTATACACGCATTTTATATTGCCTATAATACTTAATCAGACAAAGCAAAAAAATTATATTTATACAGTGTCCTCTTCTCACCATAATTTACAAAGTTCAGTGCTTGGTAAAAAACAGCATCCATTCTGTGTGTCACTTCAGCACTGACACATCACGGTATGCCATTCATCAAAGCCTCTTCTGATTTGAATTTGAGGCAATTTTTTATGCCATCTCTCATATGGTACTACACAGTTGAGAGTCTGTTGGTTGTGTTCAAGCAGTCGCTGCAGTCTCTCAGAAAAATGCAGTTCTCCTTAGGAAACAGCCAATACCAGCATAAAGACTTACCACACTACTGCAACTGCAGTTGTGCAAAGGACAGTATGTGGTGCTAATATTGTGTGTAGATAAGGCCCTGAGACTCATTTCAGCTTCTCCCCCCTCCAACAACAACAACAACCAAAACCAAAAAACCCAAACAAACAAACAAAACCAACCAAAAAAAAACCACAAAAAACCCAAAACCCAAACCAACCAATCAAGAAAGAAGTAAACAAAAAAAGATATGTACCTCAAAATCATAACAATTGAAATAACTGATTTTCAGTTCCACTAAAAACCTCACAGACAGGCCCAAAAGATCAGAAGTGTGTCCACATGTCTGTCAGATTCTCCAGCTCCTCCACCTTGCCTAGCTGAGGTGTGGATTCAGGGGCTAAATCCCTGAATGTGCTATTTTTTTAAAAGTACCAAAACACAAGGCTATGATACACATAATCAGGTCCTTGGAAGTAGCAAACCTTACCCTGGCTTATTTGACCAACAGATATAACTCTGCTAAATTAATATTTCTCCTCTTGCCCACGAAGGTATCCTTAAGGAGAAAATTATGTTCCTCTTTTTCCACCTCCACAAGTTTTGTATTCCCTTTGCTTACTATAGCCCTGATGGCTTCTCATGATATTTCTGATGTATTTTTGTGTTTGTGCAGGATGGATGCAAATAAATCTGTTATATACTTCTCTAGTTTTACAATTAGGAATCTAGATTTAAAAAAAAAAACAAACAAGCTATCGAAGTGTTGCTGTTCAATTTCCTCTGGCACAGTAAGTTTTCTTACAAAATTAATACATTGCTATCACTTGAAAGCAAGAAATGGAGAAAGCAAGCAAGAGCACCCCAATTGTAAAAACGCAGAACATCCTCTGTTCAGAAATACAAAGCTTTCCAAAATATGTACCAAAAAAGGTAAATTTCTCACCTTCCCCACTTCCTGAAAGTAGGAGTGGGTTTCTTGTTTGTTTTGTTTGTTGGCTTGTGGTTTTGGGGGTTTTTCCCCCATAATATTGAGACTTCCAGCAGCAGAACTGTTGAAACAGCTGCAGTCCTATGTTTTATATCACCAGTATCTGGAGTCCCTCCTGATATTCTCTGTCTCATTTCCAAGTTTAACCTCACTCTGATCACCTGAAATCCTCTGGCATGGTCTCCTTTCCATTCTAGGAGCACAGTATTATCTATCTCTGTGTGTTCTGTGGTCATATCAGAGATTGCTGGCTATGGTCAACAGAAATGACTGTAGGGACTTTCCTGTCTTCAATGATTTTGATTGTCTAACCGTTGATTTGAGCTCCTTACCAGACACAGCTGGCAGCTGCTAGGGGAAATAGAAGCTGTTTCTATTTCTGTTTTCTATTTCTATTCTCTACGTATCTTCATCATATCGAGAATATTAATTCTGAATTTCTGGGGTTTTTTTGATCAAGTCTATTACACCAACACCTAGACTTGGAGCTCTTCAGCAGCCTCTCAAGTAGCCACTGCCCACTTTCCCATTTATTTCGGTGTATCACTGAAAGTTTTGTCTGAACCAAATCCCTACAACTACCTCAAAAGGAGATTGTAGCGAGGTGGAGACCAGTTTCTTCTACCACAGAGAAGAGAGTGAGAGAAGTGAGAGGGAAGTGAGAGAAGTGAGAGAAGCAGAGGAAATGACTGTAAACTGAGACAGGGGAGATTCTGATTAGATGTTAGAAAAAAATTTTCCCTGTCAGGGTGGCCAGGCATTGGAATGGGCTGCCCAGGGAGGTGGTGGAGCCACCACTCCTGGAGGTGTTCAAGAGGCGTCCGATCTGGCGCTCGGCGATGTGGCTCAGGGGTTTAGGGGTCACAGTGGCATTCTGGCCTGGATGATCTAAAAGGTCCCTGCCGATCTTGACGATTCTGTGACTCTATAATTCTGAGTCTTTCTTGTAAATCCTCTCTGTATCAACGCATCTTCACGGTCTCTCAGGTGCGGCTCCCAGCTATTTTGTGTTTCCCGGGAAATGGCGTTCTGCCCGCACCCAGAGCGCTCCTTCGGCGAGACCGGCGGTGCCCCCGCAGGCGCTCCGGGACCACGGGATCTGCG